TATATATATATACATATAAAATATATATTTTTAAAATATTTTTAAAAATCATATATAATAAATATTTTTACATTTTATTATAAAGTTTTATTTGAATTTATAATATGAATAGTTTTAAACATATATATATTTACATACATGGGAAAAAAACAAAAATTAAAATAAGATAGAATAAATATTCACATTGATATATTTATATCGATATTAAATTTCACTCTATTAGAAAATTACAAAAATTATTATATTTAGGTATAAAATATAAAAAAAATTGATATATACAATACATAATAAAATCTGATCTGTTTTTATTTATTTTAATTCTATAATGATTTTTAATTTTTAATTCATAATAGGATAATTAAATTTTTTCACATAAATACTGTTTTTTATAACATTTTGTATTTCAATTGTACGAATGAATGATATTAAAATCTTATTTTTATTATTACGTATATTTATATATTACACATAAACATATTTAACGTTTATCATATATTTTTCATTTAAGGAAATGAGTTACGAATAAATATATAAAATAAAATGAAAATCAAAAGAAATTTAATTTGTTAGAAATAAATAATATTCATATCTCACTGTGATATTAAAAACATAAATAATAATAAAAAAAAAAGAAATTAAATGAAAATAAACAATAAAAAAATAATATAATCAATCTATAATATTATTACCTTTAAAACCTCAATTTCGTTCTCTTGTCGATCTTTAGAAGACTCACAGGACATATTTCTTTTAATACATTATATTTTCATTATTTAATTTTAAATATTGTTGTTCAACAGTCACGAATAATTAAATTTAACTCATTGTTTAGGCCTCTAACCTCTATTATAATACTAATCGTTCTCCGCGTGAAATGTTTCTTTTCATTATTCATTCACTGAAAATTCTTTTGAAAAAAATTTATATATTACTTCGTAACTTATAAAAATTAATATAAATTCTATAACTAATATAAATTCAATAGTTTGGTTTTTCAATTGTATCGATGTTAAACAAATACAATAGATAGTTTACACGACAAGGTGGATCTACATATCGAACAAAAATACATGATACAACTGTATGATTCACACAATTTATAATATTATATATATACATATATAATATATAAATATATACATACATACATATTATATATATATCACATTTTACGTACGTAATTATTGATAACGGAAAATTCAAAATTTAATTTTCATTTTTATATTTTAATTAAAAATTTTATTATTAATTTTATTATTAAGTATTAATATTTGTGAGTTGAATTTTGATTATTCATAATACTTAACGGATATTATAAATAAACATTTAATATATTTAATAATTTTTAAAATTACATAATAAATAACATATTTATTTAACTTATAAATTTTAAATTAATCGTAAGACAAATATTCGTTAACAAAAAACCAACGACAAAAAAAATTTCATTGTATTAATATTTTTTTCATCAACTAGTGTCAAATTTCAATGTCGGACCTTACCCTCTATTTCACTCACATTCAATGTTTCTCACTCTCATATGCGATGCATTTAAAAAACGAACGAGTCGAAGAGAAATAGCAACCTATAATTCTTAGGATGGTACCTCCCTCAATAATAGGCGCGTAGCAAACCCAAACGTGTGACTAATAAACAAGAAATACAGTAGTGATAACAAAATGGTTCTCGCAGATTTAGGACGTAAAATAACATCTGCACTTCGATCCCTTAGCAATGCAACTGTCATTAACGAAGAAGTAAGTACAATTCTATACAACAACATAACCTAAAATTCATTTGACATAAGTATTAAAATTCTAACATATGTTGATTTATTTTATTCGATATATGTTATATTTTGAATATTTTCTAAACGTTTTCACTTCTTCAATATTCAATAATTCAATAATTTAATAAACTTTTAAAAATGCGGTATTCATTTTATCGAGAAGTCAATATTATCGAGAACAATTATAAATTATTGTCAATAGAAATATCGTAACATTTTATATTGTTATTTTATTATTAATACTATTTTATATTTATTTAGGAAATATTCCCCCAAAAAATATCTATACGATACGTTATTACGTATATACGTATAAATTTAATTCAAACTTTATATTAGTCATAATTTTGTTTATCGTATTTGTTCAAAAGGCAATCGGATAAAGATTTACGAATGTAATCCGATTCAATAATACAAATGAATTGAATTTATTTTCTAAATTTTTGTGCGATCGTCTTTGGAATTAATATTATTTAAACGAAATTATGATCATTAAAAAAAAAATTTATATCGAGAAATATAATACAGACATTTTTCTCGAATAAGTACATACATGTACATATCTATATTGTTTCTAAATATAAAAATAGAGTCTTAAATATACGATTATCTAAAAATTTTAAATTATCGAAAAGTTGAATATATATATAATAAAGATTTCACGATTCCTTTGTTATAATTTAAATCTTTATATAATTTTTTTTAACATATTGGAAATATTATTTAATAATTAAAAAACTTTTATTATTCATATTCTTGGAAAATTTTTTATTTTTTTTATATATATAAATTTCTATTATAAAATATATTCATAAAAATGAAGACAATATTTATATATAAATTTAAAATAATGAATTTGAATAATGAAATATATCAATCATTTTAAATTTTTTATTTTTATAATTATATGTATTCAGAATGATGAATAGATAAAATTAAAGTTAGTTACTCTATTTAATATCTATATATACATGGAACAAATATTTGAAATAAATTTTAATAATATGAAATAATATAATATCGTTGTTATATTAATATTTATTATTTTTATATAAATTTTTTTATAGGTTTTAAATTCTATGCTAAAGGAGATATGCGCGGCATTACTTGAAGCAGATGTTAATATTAGGCTTGTCAAAAAATTAAGAGAGAATGTACGTCTTGTAATTGATTTTGATGATATGGCTGGTGGTCTTAACAAAAGGAGAATGATACAGAGTGCTGTATTTAAAGAACTTGTAAAGGTAAAACGAATAATTTATTTATTTTTTTGAAGAGAAATATTGAAAATAGATATTTTCCCGACTAGAAAGAAATATTAAAAGAAAATATATCTAATATTAATTATATATGTATAATTATATATGTATAAATTTAATTAAATTAAATTAAATTAATCATTGTAGGATTTCGAAAATAGATTTTGTTAAGTTTAACTTTATTTATATATATATTTTATATATAGACAATTAAAATAATTATCATATTTAGAATTAGAATCATTAAATATTTTATTCCAATCAATTCATAAAATTTGATAATTTATTTCATTATTTTTCAATTTTTTTTTAAAATCGAGTTTTTTTAAAAACGATATCTATGAAATATTTTATGATACAATTTATTGCAGCTTATCGATCCTGGAGTGAAAGCTTATCAGCCGATCAAAGGAAGACCAAACATAATCATGTTCGTTGGTTTACAAGGTTCAGGAAAAACAACTACTTGTACGAAGCTTGCTTATCATTATTTAAAAAAAAATTGGAAGGCTTGTTTAGTTTGTGCCGATACTTTTCGTGCTGGTGCGTACGATCAAATAAAACAAAATGCAACAAAAGCAAGAATTCCATTTTACGGAAGGTGAGTAATTAATTAAAATATTACTTATTATATCTGTTCGTCGAAGCAAGTATAAATGGATAAAAACATATAAAGAATTTAAAAATATTACCGGTATTGTTACAATAGGGAATTTTTGCTAAAAATTTTACATGACATAGTTAGAATTCTAAAATCTTGATAATTTTTATATTTTTATTTTTTATTTATATTAAATTTTTTATTTATATTTTTATAATTTTTATTTTTTTTTTTGTCAGACTTAATATATAGATATATAGATAGATAGAGAATCTATCTATATTTCGAAATAATTATAATTTTACAATGTAGATAATAATATAAAAGAATATAAATTTGTTTTTTAGTTATACCGAAGTAGATCCAGTTACAATAGCACAAGACGGCGTTGAAATGTTTAAAAAGGAAGGTTACGAGATCATTATCGTTGATACAAGTGGTAGGCACAAACAAGAAGAATCTTTGTTCGAAGAAATGCTTCAGGTTGCGAATGCAATTGTAAGTATAATATTAAAATCGGTAATAATTAATTCATATTATTATTAAATTTACAAAACATTGTAAAAATGAATGAATTTTGAATATTTAAAAATTTTTTAAAGAATTTTAAAAAATTTTTAAATTAACATATATGATTTATTAATATATTATTATTATTAATACGACGATAAACAATGTTTATTGTATTTTATTAATAACAATTAAATATATCTGAAATATTATATACTCGATCAAAGATATAATTTGACAATAATTATGATCTTACATAATTAACATACATTATAATAAACTTTAATATATTATTATAGATAATATATTATATAAAGCAATTTTTTAAATTTAAATGAAAATGGTTTAATAATTGAGAAAAAATATAAAAAAGTTTCCTATATTTTTAAAATATCAAGGAAATAACTCACAATATCGATATTTATCGAAATTTGAAATGAGATTCTCAATCTCAACGATTTAATTTTCAAACGAGAATCCAATTATTTTTGATATAATAATTTTTGAAGTTAATTTACCACCAATATTAATCATCATTTTATATGGAAGACTGTAAAAAAGTTGTTCGATCGAATTCTCAAATATGTTATAGCAGCTCTAAAATATCAGGATTATCTTTGAAACTTTATATCTCAGAAATAAATAAAAAAACTTATAAAAAATATATATCGATAGTATTTTGAAAATATTCTGAATAATAATTTATTAGTTTTGGCTCTATTATGCATATATTACAAAAAACACTTTGTAAAATACGCTAGAATATACTACAAAAAATAAAAGAATTAAAAATTCCCATAGAATACGTTGTTAGTCTTTCCTAATCTTTTAAGTTTTCCAAAATTTTTCTAATCTCAATTATATTACGGATGAAGTAAATGTCAGTACGATATGTTTCATCGTTTTATAATTCGTCCGAAACATTTTTTCAATTATATCTTTTATATTTTTCGATATATTTAATCGTTTTTAGATTTTATTTTGTTAAATTTACACGCGTGTAATTTTTATACAAAATGCACAATATCGTAAACTTGTGTAAAACTCGTATATTTATTTTAATTAATAATTTATTATTATTTCTAGCAACCAGACAATATAATTTTTGTAATGGATGCAACAATAGGTCAAGCTTGCGAAGCTCAAGCAAAAGCCTTTAAGGAACGTGTTAACGTCGGTTCTATTATTATTACAAAACTTGACGGACACGCAAAAGGTGGAGGTGCTCTTTCAGCGTAAGTGTTTATAATTTCTAAAAATAATTTTTTCAAACTTTTTTATAAAATAATTTTACAAAAGTTCTTTTCGAATTCTTTTATTATTATATCGTTACGCGTTCATAATTATCGTTAATCCAATCAACCAACGTTCAATTAAATATTGTACAGTCTCAAATGTTAATATAAAAAACAAAATTATTTAAGAACAACAATAATATCGAAAGATATCAATAATATTATTATTATTAATTTTAAAATATTTCTTTTCTTTTTTTAATCGAATCATTTTAATCAAACATTATAATTAAATTTGGAGATTAAAAAAAAAAAAGTTCTTAATCGACAAAAGTTCTTGATATTATGTAAGTATATTTCTATAGGGTTGCTGCAACACAAAGTCCAGTAATCTTTGTAGGTACAGGAGAACATATAGATGACCTAGAACCTTTTAAAACAAAACCTTTTATCAGTAAATTATTGGGTATGGGCGATATCGAAGGACTTATAGACAAAGTCAATGAATTAAATCTCGATGATAACGAAGAATTACTCGAGAAAATCAAACATGGTCAATTTACTTTAAGGGATATGTATGAACAATTTCAGAACGTTATGAAAATGGGACCATTTTCTCAACTAATGGCAAGTCTTATTTTTTTTGCTTCTCTTTTTTATTCGTTA